ATCATATGTTATTGTATAAATAAATTGGTGAAACTTAGACTTTTTGTGTTATTTATCATAGCATCCACCCCCCTCATTTTTTTTTAAGTTCATAACAGAGACAAAGGATGGGTATTTCAGCTTGTGTAAAAATAAAACTTGTACAAGCTAGAATAGTTAATAAATAAAATACCATAAAATTGCTCTAACTTTTCTTTTGAGATTACAAAAAATATATAATAATAAAAAGTAATTGTATTTAGTTCTTTTTTGTTTATCTGAAAACTACGAATTATGGTAAGTAGCTGATAGCTGCATGCCTTATGATAAGCTAAGCATTTACATCAAGAACTCTTAGCATCATATTGACAGTAAATTTCAGTCTTGGTATTAGTTTTAATAAAACTTATCTAAAGACAAAACTAAATAAACCTGAAACGTAGGTTAATAATGAGGAATGGAGTGGGACCTTATTAAGTTCATTAGTTATTATGTATTAAGTCTTGATAATGGCATTCCTAAGAGTGTGATCATTTGACTATTGACTGCCTTCCATAAAAAAAGAGGAAAATTTGATAGAAAACTTTATTTTATGGATTGAATTTGTTACTCTGATTATCTTAATAAGTTTAGAAGGTAATAGCTATATAAACAAATCAAGTTTGATTACCTTTTGTTTATCAACAGTTGATTTACTAAAAGGAACATTACAAGTGGTTTACTACATCCTTCATGCATCTGATGAGTTCTCCTTGCAGTTTGGCTCATCAGAGTTTATTAAAGCCTTAACGGCAGGAGCAAAACAGCTACGGTAAGTAAGGATCTTGGATACTTAAAACCGTAGAATTATTATGTTAGAGTTCTACATTTCTCATATTATGCATGAACCTGTTTAGAATACAGGGGGATTATAAAGAAAGAGTGAAGCATTAATGGTATACTATAGAAAAGTGAAATTGTACAGGGGTGTTAAGGGTTTCATGTTGACCAGTCTGACCTAATGTCTGATCAGCCAGGGTAACTGTTCAAAATGTACTCCTCCAACATCCAAAATGCATGTGCGTGTGAATGACAATGGATGTTATTGCAACAACATATATATCTCGTATAGTAGGTTAGCCACTTCCTGAACATTTGCATCCTTGAAGTCTGGAATTGTGAAGGGCTTTCATGGTTCATGCTTGACATAAGGTACCCTAACAACGAGAAATCAGTTGGTGTTAGGTCCAGCGAACATGGTGGTCATTCACAAGACAAATGATATGAGATGATTCTGTCCTTACAGTGCTCCAACAATATGTACGAGATGTTTCTTCTGGTTACCAATATGAGGAGGGGTACTGCATGAAAACGTTACTGGCTATCACTTATTACCATTGCATGGTACCTTGCAGCATTCATTGTGCATGACGTGCAGTGCATGAGCTAATGATTCTTCAAAAGATATATACTGTCCAAAAACACAGCTGTGGAAACACACCACATTGTCAACTGGTATCGTGGAAGTATGTAGGAACTGTTACATGTGAATTAGTTTCTGACCAGATAATGTAGTTGTGCATATTGACACTTCCAGAAAGAGTGAAGTATGCTTCGTTAGTCCATAAGATACTGGCAGACAATTGGTCATCGACTTCCAGACTTGCCAAGAACTGCAATGCAAAATCAACACCTTGGATTAAATCCATTTCTTTTGATGCTTGAACTTGATTCACCTAGTAAGGAAACATTTATAAAATTGACCAAAGAACCTCATCAACAGTTGAAATTGGAAAATACAGACACTGGGCAACATGATGGGCACCGCTGCACCCATGTGCACTTGTTCTGCTACGTCTTGACTGACCTCAGTGATAGTTTTAGTTGGTGTCAGTTGTCTGCCTGTACGTGGCTTATGACAAGTGCAACCTGTCTCCTCAAGGTTTTTTTTATGGACTTGTGCACAGCAACACTGAAACAAGGCCATCTGCAGATGTTATTTACTTTATGGCAGTGGTTCTCAAACATTTCAGGCTTGTGTACCACTTTTTGTTTAATTTTTAAAATTACAAATCCATATTTAATTTTTAAAAAAAAGATAAAAAAAACTTGTAACAAAAATTCACATTTTTAACACTTACCCATTAATGCAAAGGATGCGATTGTTTTTTCTAGCACGATTGACGAATATGTGGTACCATTGTTGTCAATTTGAAGGGAAGAAAATACTGGCGAGTCTATGCAGGTAGTCAGTGAGGAGAGTAGTATATTTTTGTACGTGGAAAGATCAGATAGGGGTTATTACAAACTTTATGGTTTTTTATATTAATTGTGTCATGAACCACCGACATTAGCTCCACGTAACACCAGTGGTATGCGTACCACAGTTTGATAATCCCTGCTTTATGTTATTCCCTGAGATCTGCCTCAGCATCGCATCTTTTGGTGTAATAAAATTTCAACACTTCATCTTCATGCATACTTATCAATTTCATGGTGATCAACAGATACCTATGAGATAAATGCGATAAAGATCAGTGGTGCTGCTGGTGGCAAGATGCAATAAATGTGGCATTTTTAACCACATGATACCTTTAACACTCCTACGCAGTTTCACCTTCCTATGTCGTATCATTTGTGAGATATGACCTGTTGAACTGTGAAACTTTTTTTTGTGATCACCCTTTATTAAATACTTCAAAATATAGAAGTCACAGCTTAAACAGAACTTAGTAAGATTTCAATATTTGCTTACAGTTATTGTAGATAAAAGTAATTTTTTTAAGGTGTTTCAGTGATATTTTGTTCTGTTAACTTTATATTTTGAGCTTACCTTCCACTTTCTAACTAGGGCTTGACTTGGCCTGTTGGTCAGGGCACTCGACTCACAATCTACAGGTCATGGGATAGAATCCTGTCATGGAACATGTTCGCTCTTTCAGCTGTGAGGGCACTATAATGTCCTAGGGCTTGACTTGGCCTGTTGGTCAGGGCACTCGACTCACAATCTACAGGTCATGGGATAGAATCCTGTCATGGAACATGTTCGCTCTTTCAGCTGTGAGGGCACTATAATGTGATGGTCAAACCCACTATTTGTTGGTAAAGAATATCCCAAGAGTTGGCAAAGGGTGGTGTTAACTAGCTGCCTTTCCTTTAGTCTATCACTTCAAAATCAGGGATGACTAATACTGATAGTCCTTGAGAGCTTTACATGAAATTCAATGAAAAAAACAAAGTTTTTAAACCAGGTTTTATGAAAATCACAATGATAATTGTGCTTCATATGAAAATAATATTCACTCATTTCTTTTCAATTAATAAACCTGTAGTTTGAAAGAAGACTTTGAAGCTCTTGATGAGTATTGGCATGTTCTTCATCTTTTATCTCTGAATGAAGACATTTTAAAGATATTAGGTAAGTACAAGTTAAATTATAAAATATGCTAAGAATTGATATTTTTAGTGTTGATTAAAGGGAAAAAAACAACTTGTTATTGACATGGAGGTAGTGTACAAGTATGTATGTGGAAGTTGCATTATTCACGATGTCTTCATTGTGACATCATATTTTCAATAAGTACATGTAGTATCTTTTCACAGTAACTGAACAGTGTTCGATAATGTAGTACTTTATCGGTAAGCAAGAAAAAAGGGTTCTTTTATGAATGAAAAAAAGGTATAGGCCAGATGAACAGTATTGGATAATGTATTACTTTATCGGTAAGCAAGAAAAAAGGGTTCTTTTATAAGTAAAAAAAGGGTATAGGCCAGATGAACAATGTGGGATAATGTATTACTTTATCGGCAAGCAAGAAAAAAGGGTTCTTTTATGAGTAAAAAAAAGGTATAGGCCAGATGAACAGTGTTGGGTAATGTATTACTTTATCGGCAAGCAAGAAAAAAGGGTTCTTTTATGAGTAAAAAAAAGGTATAGGCCAGATGAACAGTGTTGGATAATGTAGTACTTTATTGGCAAGCAAGAAAAAAAGGTTCTTTTATGAGTAAAAAAAAAAGGTATTGGCCAGATGAACAGTGTTGGATAATGTAGTACTTTATTGGCAAGCAAG